CCCCCGCCCCCAGGTCAGTCTGGCTAGATTTTATCAATTTTATTGGTCTTTTTAAAGAACCAGTTTTGGGTTTCATTGAATTTCTCTTTTGTTTTAGGTTTTCTATGTCATTGTTTTCTGCCTTTATCTTCATTCATTCTTATCTTTAGCGTATATCAAGTTTTATATACTATTCTTTTACTAATTCCTAAAGATTAAAGAGGAAGTCATTTATTTTAGTGCCATAAATCATCTGCTACGTACTTTAACTGTGTTTCACAAATTTTGATAAGCTGTGTTTTCATTTTAATTCAGTTAGAAATATTTTATATTTTCTCTATTGATTTCTTCTTTGTCCATGGGTTACTTATCAATACACTATGAAGTTTCTATGTATTAGGAAAAGTTTCTAAATTTTTTGATGATTAGATTTAAATTTCATTCCATGTAGAAAAAAATATTTTAATGAGTTGAATAATTTTAAATTTATTGAGACTTTTTTATGGCAAAGAATGTGGTCCATATTGGTGAATGTTTTATGTATACTTTAAAGGAATGAGTATTTTACTGTTTGGAGTGAGTGTACTATAAAAGTTGATTAGGACAAGTTGCTTGATAGTATTGTTCAGGTCTTGTATATGCTTACTGATTTTCTGTTTATTTGTTCTATCAATTATTTAGAGAGGAGTGTTTTAAAATCTGAGAATCTGTTTTCTCAATAATGAATACTTTAGAAGACTTTGTAACTATCAAGACAACACTTGAAAGATAAAATGTAGAATAAGCCCTGGCTGGTTTGGCTCAGTGGATAGAGCGTCGGCCTGCGGACTGAAGGGTCCCAGGTTCGATTACGGTCAAGGGCATGTACCTTGGTTGCAGGCACATCCCCAGTAGGGAGTGTGCAGGAGGCAGCTGATCGATGTTTCTCTTCATCAATGTTTTTAACTCTCTATCCCTCTCCCTTCCTCTCTGTAAAAAATCAATAAAATATATATTTTTTTAAAAGTAGAATAAATTTCTTTAAAAACTACAGAGAAGTCTTGTGTTCTCCATGTATAGGTGACATATGGTTGCAGTATGTCTTGACCTATGTAGTACACTGTCCAATTCCACATGAGTCCCTTAGGCACAACTCTTACAGCCTAATCTGTGTTCTGTGCCAACCAAAGCAGCTTTGCTGGTATCAATTTGTATAGGCCAAACTGTAACACTTTAGCCCTCTCCATTTATGTTTCCTCAGCTTCTGAGTAGTTAAAATGGATATTTCTAAGAGAATATGACCATATGTTTGATATTTGGAAAGAGGTAACTGGTTTTATTGGGAAGGCATGAGAAGAGGTGGAAGAATGTCATGCTTAGGGTCATAAAACTTTATTCCAAGTCCAGGATCACACACTGGTTCGGGAATTTCATCCGTGTCCTTTCACTACTTGAAGTTAGGTTTAAAAATAATATCTGTTCCTATTCCTCCTATCAACATGTAGCCCACCTCTAAATCGGAACATAGGTCTCCAACAGGAGGTCCCTGCTCTTACTAAATATTCCTTGGTTTGTTTTTTTCATCTTTGTTTGGGGGGTTTTAACCTACGAAATCTATAATGTCATTAATTTGAAAAATGATTTATCTTCAAACAACCTGTTTAAACCAGAAGTCATAGTTCAAATTATTAATTGTGGAGGTGTTTTTTTAAAGCAAATTTCACATTTAAAGAAACTGAAGAGTAGCTTGTGTTGCAATTTAAAACCTTTAAGTAAAATATTCAATTCCTGATTTATCCTAAGTTTAAAATCTGAACTTATATTTCAACTCCTCTCCTAAACATTTTTTTTTTTTAAAGAATCACTGGGAAGAAATAAAGAATATCTGATCATCCTGAGGTATAAAAGATTCTAAACTTTACCTAAATTTTTATGAAAATCCACATTTATTGGCACATAATTTTCATAAAGACCCAATAATATACAGTAATATATAGTGAAATGAACTTCAAAACTGAAAATTAGAACCTTCGCACATTGACAATAAATATCTAAATTTAATATATTAGGTATAGGCCAAACTGTACCACTTCAGCCCTCTCCATGAAAGAAAGTCCCTTGGAATTGCAATATTTTTGAAATTTTTGTGTTTGTTTTTGGAACTAAAGCTGCAATAGGATGGTATCAACGATCTCAGGTTGATGTGCTGTCACTAAATTCCTTTTTATCTCAGGCCTGCAGCACTCCAGTGGTCCTGGGACTTCACTATTGTGTCCACCTAGCATGATGAAACCGTGTGCTGATTGACACATCTATCAATTTATCTTCCATGTTGTTCTGGGTCCCACACCACAGGCGAATGTTGTCTCAATGGACATGTTCAGTGTTTAGTCTCTAATTATATGTGGACTAGGACAAAAGGTAATTTTCTATACTCTATCCTCAATTAAATATCTGTATTCTATGAGCAATAGTTTGAAAAATGGTCAATTTCACCAAAACTTCTATTTATGTAATAATTTCTGCTTTTGAATCCGAACACCATTTAGAAATCAGTGAAAAAGATATGTTTTCTCAACTTGTGTTTGTACAGAACCAAGGCTTTCATACCACACTATTTGTTTAGTGAGGTGATATGGGCCCTCTACCTTTTTCTTGTAAGAGGGTCATCAGTTGAGTACACGAGATCCTGATACATCCCAATAACACTTGTGACATGAAACAGCTTTATTGATTTCTAAGTAGCAAATGATCATGAAGTGTGAAAAAATTATCTAGCAATTGGACTCTGAGATCTTTTAACTATTGAATGTATTTTAATTCTCAAATCTGTATATTTATTTATTTATGTATATATTATTTTTGATGTCTCCCATTCCCCCCTCCAACCTTTCCCCTCTCCACCCAGCCCCAGCCCCATCCCAGGCCTTCACCACACTATTGTCTGTGTCCATGGGCTTTGGCTATCCTATATAATAAAGAGGTAATATGCAAATTAACCCTCACGCCCTCACAAGATGGCTGCCTATGACCAGACCGGCAGGAGGGTTAGTGAGGGACAACTAAACGACTGAACAGAAGGCTCTGTGGGATGATCAGGCCTGCAGGGGGGTTAGTGAGGGACGACTAAAAAAGCAGGTTGTGTGGGGCAACCAGGCCAGTAGGGGGGGCAGTTGGGGCGACCAAGCTGGCAGGGGGGTAGTAAGATACCAGGTCAGCAGGGGGGCCAGCTGGGGGCAATTAGGCTGGCAGGGGGGGAAGTGAGGGGCAACTAGGCCGGTGTGGAGGGCAGTTGGGGGTGATCAGGCTAGCATGGGGGGCAGTTAGGGGCAACCAGGCAAGCAGCCAGGTGAGCGATTAGGAGCCAGTGGGCCAGGATTGTGAGAGGGTACAGGCTGGGCTAAGGGGACCCCCCACAATATGAATTTTGTGCACTGGGCTTCTAGTATGTATATAAATTCTTTGGTTAATCTCTTTCAGCGCCCACTCCCCGACCCCCACCCCCACTCCCGGCCTCTGAGATCTATCAGTCTGTTCCATGCATTCATACTTCGTCAGTTTATTATGTTCATTAGAATCCACACATAAGTGAAGTCACATGGTACTTGTCTTTATCTGACTGGCTTATTTTGCTTAGCATTATAATCTCCAAGTCCATCCATGCTGTCACAAAGGGTAAGAGATTCTTCTTTTTTATAGCTACATAGTAGCCCATGGTGTAAATGTACCGTAGCTTTTTTATCAACTCATCTACTGATGGGCACTTGGGCTGCTTCCAAATCTTAGCTATTGTAAATAACACTGCTATGAACATGGGAGTGCATACATTCTTTCTGATGGGTGTTTCGGGATTTTTAGGATATATTCCCTGAAGGTGATCACTGGGTCAGACAGCATCTGAGATATGTCATTTTTTAGAACGGCTCACTTCATATGCTTACACCTGGAATAGAGATGGCAGCTAGGACTTTATTTGGGGTAACAGTTCAATCAGCAAATCCTCTCTCAGTCTAAGTAGGAAATTCATGATGTTTAACAACCCATTGTCATATTTTTGAGGACTAAAGTTATTTCTTTTAATGATGCTGATCATCTTTAAATTCTTACTTATTGCCATTGAACATCTATCTGCAGTTTTCTTAATTTAGTTTGTTGCCCAATATGCTGTCTTTTAATTTTCTTTCCATATCAAAAGCTGAAATAAACAATAAACTTTAAAATGTTTAGAGGCAAAGACAAGACCTATGCAATTCTCACTTAATTTTCACCCGCCATTATATTTCTACCTAATAGATTTTATTTGATGATACATCAATTTTTGTTTAATGGAAGGCAATACAAGGTATAGGTTAAAAACATGATCACTAGCAGTGAAAAGATCTGGGTTTAAATCTGGATTCCATCTCCCACTAACCCTGCCACCTTGGGCAAATTACTTAATCTCCTAATCTTTTAAAGGAGTGTAGTAGTCCATGTCTCATACAATTATTTTAATAATTAATTGAGTTAAAGTATGGAAAGTATTAGCACAGTGATTGGCTTACATAGAGAAAATATTTAGTAAGTGAGAAAAATAGTGTGCATACAAGTGAGAATGGGAAAAAGACAATGATTCTAGAGTGACATACAGTATCATTTGGCAATCTAACTACCAGAAAGTGATGTTTACTCTTCTCTTGGCCATCCATAACTTGAACACTGTGATGTAAAATTAACAACTTAAATACTGTGATAGAAAGTCAATAATATATTTTATGTTACATGACAAGGGGACAAGAAAGGAAAATAAAGATATTTGATACACACACAAATATATTTATAACAAAATAAAATAAGAAAAATACTCATTATAAAAAAAGAAAGAAAGTGAACATTTCAACATATTTACAGAGAAGAGTTGAGACAGGCATGTTTTCAAAAGTGCTTGTGTTGTCCTCCAAATACTGTCTGTGGGGATTGCCATTATAATAAGTGGTTTCATTCTATGGTACATATCTTAGATTTGATACATAAATATTGGCTTGCTTTTCAGTCTTCACAAGTATACCCCCTAGACCAGGGCTAAATCTTCTATTTATATACAACATTTAGTGGAGTGTCTAACACAGAATAAGTGCTCAAGGCAAGTTAAATTAAAAAATCTTTAACTCGCACAGTCTAGTAGCACAAAATACAAATACAGCACATACTTTAAAAATGCACAATGATACCTGTTAGGTGTGTGTTTGGGTGCGTGCTCATGTGCACATACGTAAATTAGTGTAAAACAAAGACAACTGAAGGTAAAACTAACACATCTTTGAAACAAGAGTTACATCTCACAAGTGTTAGTTTGAAGTCTTCTTTCAGATGTAGGCATAATTCAGATTAGATCTTTCCAAACAGGTCTACTTTCATAAAAGATAGTTGTTGGGCTTATTTTTAGCTAGAAACAAGCCATTGGAGACGTTCCCATTGTAGCTTGTTAAAAGAATCATTAGGAGAGACTGTCTACATGGCTGGGTTCATGAAGGCTTTCTCACATTATTTGTCTATATGACTGAAGGACAGACACCATTAATTTTGAAACAATCACTTTCAAATTTAACGGACAATTTTCTCTTCTCTCCCTTAGCAACTACAGGGGAATATATTACAGTTTCTATGATTCATTGTAACATAATCTGAGATGTTTCTTGATTGAAATTAGACAGTTAGGTCACACATTTTGTTTTCCATTATCTTCTGAGTCTGAATGGAACAAGACTGAAATTGAGGCATGTAAGATACAAAAGTCTTCTGACCAGAAGTTCCTAAGTTGAAATTACTTTCTACAAGGTGTGAGCAACTGTCCTGGAGGATTCTGATGTCAGTGAATAAACAATGGGTGGGGAATGGACACAACACCCCTGACTCTGCTGTCAGAAGCACACTACTCTCTTTTTTCATTGAGGTGACCCCTAAATAATAGACAGATTTTTCATCATTATTTTCTTCAGAGAAATTTCCTTCAAGGGTCAAAAGTTTATCCAATTCTTCTGAGAATGTAAGGTTTGGTGAAATTATATTGGGGTGCTGATCTGATAACATAAAAAACGTCTGTGTTTCTATCTCCCAAGAGCTATTAGATAAGGAATCCTTTGATGGAGAATTTTTGCTAGAGAAGCATTTGCTGACTGAGCTATTGATAAGCCCTTGCTCATCATCAATTGCACTTGACTTAGAGTTGCAGAGCAGGGTGGCATATTTAACAGAGGGTTGTCTCCTGCCTTCATCCTCACAGGTTATCTTGGTGCTCCCTGCCTCCGAGAAGCTAGCACTATTGCGTTGGTCATTAATACAAATGGAACCCTTTTCAAGATCTGCAGTTGTCAAAAGTAGAGGAACCAAAGCAGTCTGCACCTTCTCATCTTTATTTTTCCACGATGTATCAACACTGATATCTTCTGAAATGGTTTCAGGCTCCAAAAGAAGAGGACCAAATGTCACTGATTCTGTATGCTTGATAAAAAGATGCTCAAACGTTTCTGGCTAAAAGAAAAGACACATTTTAATGTTTAATTGTATTATTATCTTTTTTTTTCCGCTTCATTATGACATCCTTGCAGAAATGGAAGCGTGAAAGATTAATGCTAAAGGACATAAGTCAACCAAAATTTAACTAGTTTGGGATTGAAACAGATATATCAAAAATCAGAAAGGAAAAGCAGTAGGTAATGTTTAAAAATAGGATGAGACTGATTTAGGTTTGAGTCCTATTTCTGTGGCCATGGGCAAGCACATTAATCTTTCTGCCTTACATTTCATTTTCTTCATCTGTAAAAATATGTTCAATACTTACTCATGGCATTGTGGTGAGGAATAAATTAAATAGTAGCTGGAAGTGCTTAGCTCTCAAGGAAGACTGATTTTTGTAATTAGAAAGTGCTACAATCTGAAGAGTTCCTAACATTTAATAACAAATTAGATTTCCACAAACTGAAAATGTAAACCTCAACTAAAAAAAGTGAATAGAAATAAAATCAAGTGAGCAAAAAATGTGATGTGAGATATGATGTGAAGGTAAAATATTTGTGATTGCTAAGAACTTATCTGCCTTATATCCTACTGAGCATCGGTTTAAGATATCAGAAAATAAGAACTAAGAAGGTGAAAAAAATGATTACAGACTTTTAAATTACTATTCCTTATTAATGACTTCATATAAAAAAAACATGCTATGGGACATGCGAAATGAAGACAAAGACACAAAGAAAATGCATATCATATATTTTATAAGAATGGTGGTTACAGCAAAAGAAAAATCCTCTCAAGCATAACACATCAAGAATATGTGTGCAGAAAAACACAACTCATACAATGTGAACATACTGAAAAAATAAATGCAAAATAAAGAATACTGTGGACACATCACATTGAAAAATTAACACAACTAAATGAAGTGCTATAGAAATTATGTGCAATTTGTATATCATACATATAAGTGAACTTTTGAATATTATAAATTTTAAACTAATAAAGTGAATTCAGATTTGTTGCCTGAATTCATAATGGCAAATCTATTCCATATAAAAACATAGTTCATTTAGCAAAGTTTTGAACTGAACTGAAATATACTGGTAATTATAACCATAAAAGAATAAATATACCAAACAGTAAATATAATAATAATGGAATAGGCTTATAAAGATATTAAAATACTGCATAATGACAAATACCATGTTAACATTGCCTTTCCATTATTCTATAAACATAATATAGTAAGAGGAACTGTTTCTGTGCCTATTTTCATTTTGACAGAAATCTATACTTAGATTTATTATTTCTTTCAAATATTTGCTTGTTCATTTTGTTTTTTCTTAAGGCTACTACTATATATGTTTTGAATTTCTTAAAATTTTAAGTAACTTAGAAATTAAGATCACCAAATAAAGGAATTACATACTATCAGTGTGAAAACAAAAAATACACAACATAGCCCATGGAATGCAGTCTAACTCACATATGTTTTTCAAATGACATGTTTGGCATATTCAATGTCCTCTAGGACTTAGTAATTGGTAACTAAAGACTGACCCCATGACTACGATTGCATTTTAGATGGAAGACTTCACTAATAAATAATTAGAAATCATACACTCATATATTATTGAAGTGTAAAAAGGGGTCACAAACCTTTATTAAAAGTATTCTTACTCAAAAGCATCTAAATTACTGAATGCATCTAAATTTTTGAGGTTTTTAGAAGAGTCTGGGTACATATTACATGTTCCGCTGGTGGGAAATAAAGAATGTCTTTTCTTAATTTCACTCAGATTTTACATTCCAATGACATCTATTTAAAGTCAATGAAGGGGAAAAAGGATACCATTCTCCTTGTTGTTTAGTTTTATATTTTTTACATTCAAACAAAACTATGAATGAAATCTAAATTTAAGTGATCCATGTATAGCCTACATTTGAATTTTATTTTTTTTTTGGTTCATCAAACAAAGACTTTGGTTCATTTTTAATGTGAGCAACAGAACACAGTCTGCTAAGTTCATAGAAACAGCAGGTGGTCTTTTCCAGGGAGAAACGTCCTGTCCTCACCATGAAATATTTGTCAAAGCTCCAAAGAGTCTTCCTTCTTGTACCACTGTACACTCCCTTGTCTGCCAGAAGCTTTGGGAGGTTCGGTGTAAATATATTAAATTCAAGCAAAAATTTTATGAGGAGGCTGAATTGGAAGCTAATGTATTTTCTGGTCAATCTGATCTTGCTATGCCAGGTCATGCTGATATGAACTGTAACTTGCAGAGGCCTGTGACCAGCACAAACTGTAACTTCTGGCTTTTTTTGAAATGAAATGAAGTTAGCACTTGACCATTTTCGAGACTATAGAAAATGAAAACTCCCAGGTTGACCACATGGAAGTGTCTATAAAAGAATATAAGATGAAAAATTTTGAACATAAAAGTATAAACTAAATACGTTTACTTCATCTGTCATTAGAGTCAGTATATCTGCAAAACTATGTGTCAGAAGCTGCTGTTTTTATCTACTGACAACATTGTTTACTCTATATTTGATGATACCTAATAGATATGTAATAAGAGCAACAGTTAGAATTTTTCAATGTTTTATGACCAAATGATCAATCAAAAGCCAGATATCATGAACACTGCTTTTTAAACTTCAGATGACCTGAAAAGTAATCATACATCCAAACTGAACTGGACTCAGACCTTTATCTCCATCCCAAATTTACCCATCTGTTTTTAGTTCTAAATCAACAGATCCATCATAGTTTAGTTCTTAATAGTTCAACCAAATTTTATTTTTAGATTTTCTCCCCTTCTTCAAAATGTAAAAATCTTCTAATACTCTATAGAATGTTGGAAAGTTGGTACATTGGGTTCATCTGTAGTGATCATGATTAGACTTCAAAGAATGTCCGTACTCTGTTTAGATAAAATAAAACAAAATAAGAAAGAAAAATAAAAAAATTACTCAGAAAACAAAATATAAAAGATTTCAAACATTTTCTGTGAGGCATGGGTTCTGGACTGTACATTCTTGTGTTATATAACAGTGCTGCATGTTTTTAGAAAAGGGTAAAATTTTGAACTAAGGTGTCTTCTCTCACTTTCTTAATATCACACTCGTGGACAGTCTTAATTACCCCAGCAAAGGAAAAACTATAGAGGAATAACAAAATATATAAAAGGAGAGAAAAAAAAAGAAAAGAAAAAAAGGTGTAAGAAACAAAAGTAATATTAGATAGTTTGGAACAAGAAAACAAAATGAGCAGTGAAAACAAAAATTTAAATGTTAAGAGAAAGAAGGACTAAAAGAATGAAAAATAGAATCATAATCATAATTTTTTTAAATTTTTTTGATATATTTTATTGAACTTTTACAGAGAGGAAGGGAGAGAGATAGAGAGCCAGAAACATCGATGAGAGAGAAACATCAATCAGCTGCCTCCTGCACATCCCCCACTGGGGATGTGCCCGCAACCCAGGTACATGCCCTTGACCGGAATCGAACCCGGGACCTTTCAGTCCGCAGGCCGACGCTCCATCCACTGAGCCAAACCGGTTTCGGCCGTAATCATAATTTTTAATCTAGAAAAAATATCTAAGAAATCATCTGTATAACTACATATATGTATATATATAGCTATATTCAACTACATATATACATGTATATATGTATGTATACATATACCACTGTTCAACTATATATACAAGTATGTACAACTATTCAGCTAAATATATAGCACTATATACAACTGTTCAACTACAGATCCTACTATACAACTAGTTCTATACAAGTATATATACAACTAGTTCTATACAACTATTTAAATGAATATGCAGTAGCAAAATACAACTATTCAACTAAATATACAACTATATAGAGCTATTCAATCAGATATACAACTATATACCACTATCCTATATAATAAAAGGCTAATATGCAAATAGACCAAACAGCGGAATAACCAGAACAACCGAACAACAGGTTGCTATGACGTGCGCTGACCACCAGGGGGCATGTGTGGAACATAGCGGGTGTTGGGCATGGCGACAGGGTGGAGCAGGTGAGCAGGGTGCCAGACCAAGGTGGGGCACTGGTCGCTGTCATTGGGTTAAGCCTGGTGGTTACTAAAATTTCTTTGCTCCCACGCATGCTGCGGTCCCACACAGTGCTCACACCCGCTGCCAGCACTGGAGTCACTGCTCTCACCCACTGCCAGTGCTGGCTCTGCTTGCACCCACAACCGGCACCTGAGCGTCGCTCATACCTGCTGTCAGTGTCTGGTGCCGATCACAATCACTTGGCGCCATCAGTGGGTGCAAGTGGCAGCTGCCAGTCCTGATCACCTCTGAGGGCTTCTCCACCTCCCCCTTCTCCTGAGGGGTGATTGGGGAAGCAGCCACGGCTCGCACCCGCTGATGGCGGCAGCCCTGTCAGCGGGTGCAAACGGGGCTGGCTGCCAGCAGACAAGGGACCGGGGGCCATGGTGGGAGGGGCCAGGTGGGGGCATGGAGGATGGGCTGAGACCTGCCCCTGTGCCCACCACAGCCTCACGACCCACAGTTCCTTTCAAGGTGCACGAATTCATGCACTCGGCCCCTAGTTTAACTATATACAGTTATTCAACCATATATAGATGTGCAGCTATATACATCCATTCAACTAAATATACAACAGCTATGTACAACTATTCAACTATATATAACTACATGAACTATTCAATCACATACACAGCTATATACAACTATTCCACTAATAATATAGCAGTTATATACAACTATTTGACTCTATATACAACTACTAGAGGCCTGATGCACAAAATTCATGCACTTGTGGGGTCCCTAGGCCTGGCCAGTGTTCAGGGCCGATAGGGGCCTTTTAGGTGCCAGCTGGGTCTTTCCTTCCCTGGCTGCCAGGTGCTTACTGAGGCCTTCCTTTGTTCCACGCCACCCCATGGTGGTCACCACATGTCATAGCAAGTGATCGAACTCCTGGTCTCCGGTCGA